ATCGAACAGGTGTTGATCGAGACCATTAGAAAGTATTGGGATCGCTACCACCTGCTTGATATTTTGACAAAAGTGAATGAGTGTATGGCAGACAAACAAAGTCCAAACGGAGTCAATGCCGTCCACGTGCCATACCTGAATCATACTCTGAGAACAGACATGCACCTAGGTAAGCATGAAAATCATGGATGGATTGTTAAAGGCATGTCAATAGATAAAGTTAAAGGTGAATGTGGAATAGGCTATTTTACAGTCGTGTGCTCATTTACCTGGCCTATGAATGCAAGCCAGGCTTGAACTTGCTTTGATACAAACCTCTCTGCTTTTGTCATGAAAATACACCTGGTTAGCATTAGAACAACTTGTTTTACACGACAAAAGCAGTGAGGTCTGTATGAAAACAAAAGGCGCTTTCCATTCAATGAAAATTCCGGTTTGCATTTCCGGACATTTCCGGCAGTGACGAATGTAACAATTTAACAATTTAACGATTTACGGAAAAGAGTAAACCGAAATTTTCAGAATTTCCGTCCGATTTTATTCCGTTTGATTTTCCCGGATTTTCGGTTGAATGGTTCGCTTTTCGTAAAATTCAATATTTTCCAGATTTTCTGGAAACTTTTGTAGGAAATTTTCGTACCATTTGTAGAATTATAATTTAATTTCCTTCAAAAAAGATCAATCTTTCTGGCAAATTTGGGGTTTTTCATAAAACCTAAAAATTGCTTTAAAGTTGGATGACTCTGAATGCCTAGCTATTATGATTAGTCTTATCGGGAATGAATTATCCGATATTTATTCTAAACATTCTACCGGAACTTTGTGAAAAACGAGAAAATGTCCCATTTTGTAACATAATGGTCTTCAGTTTTCTGCACACTAATGCTGACAGTGTACGATAGCTCAGCCAACCAGATTATTTTAAGCTTATGTTGTAATATAAGAAGAAAATCAATGTCATAAGGTTTAAAATAACTTGAACTTAAACAACCATATGTTTCCCTCTGTAGCTTTGGCACCCTCTCCAGACCGACGCTCAGCCTCTACAAATCCAGGTACACCTTTGAGAAACACAAACTGCATGCATTCAAATTAAATGCCTTTATGTAAGCAATACAACATAAACTTGGCTAATAAAAACTGTCTTAGGTTTTCATTCCTTGTTCTGCTCACGTAATGAACGAAGAAGTGACTGGTTACGTCGACCGTATATTAGGAGCTTAATTTTCGACATACAAATTCTCCGTAAAGCACGCCGTCTTCAGATAGGTTGTATTAGTACTTACTTTCGGATTCAACAGCCTTTTCCTATCGCTACTTTCGGAGGGTCGCTACTTTCGGAGGTTCGATACTTTCGGGTAGCTAAAACGTGTACCTTACCTGGGCTGTTCGAAGTTACGGTGATAAAATCGCGACAAATGTGAAAACGTACACACTTTTTTATTTGGAGAAACTTATTGCATGTTATTGTTTTGAATAACAATTCGAAAGAATCAGTCTTTGAATAATCTACGTTAGCAACAGAGAAAACAACAGAGAAATTAAAAAGCATCTTGCAGCAGGTACATTAGCCTTGCTTCCTCTCGTAGCAAAGAGTAAAGTGCAACCTTTCGACGTTGCATTCAATTCAGAATTCAAGAGGTCAGTTGACAGACAGGCCACAGAACACATTGTTTCACACCCAGCGCTGTTTGTTAGTGGAAAGTTAACTGCTGGTGGTCGACGGATTTTTTTTACTAAATGGGTAAGACAGGCATGGCAGGAAACCTCATGCCGCCGTCCAAAGATCACCATGGTCCGTTCTTTTGTTAAGTGTGGCATTGCCCTCCCAACTTCGGGTAACAGGAATACCGAGAACAATATTGATGGATTGGCTGACTATAGCATTGGCGGGGGTCTGCCGATGTCGAGAAAATTACCCTGCCGTAATTTAGGATCCAAGTGGCACAACCTGTGCATAAAATGAACTGTCAGTGTTTTAATGCATAAGAAGTCCTTTTCGCGGTCACAGGTAACTTTATTAATAAGTTCTGTTTTTAGATGTGAGCAGATACATATGAAAAGAACTGGTCGGTAGTTTTGTTACTGGAGAAAACAGTTCTATCATCCCTATCACGTCTGTAATAATATACATAAAAAAAATGACTCGATTCTGATCGGCTGAGAGCAGTGCAGTTCAACTGTAACACCAGTGCAAAATGTGTAATACCAGTGCAAAAAGTGTAACACCAGTGCAAATTACAAATCATAATCGTGGATTATGATTGGCTGAGAGCCAATCGGAAATTTTCTAAGCCAATGATATTACGTAAATTGGTGACGAAAATTTTGTGCGGAAACTTTGAAAAGAGTTTTCTCGAATGAGAAAAAATAGCTTCCAGAAAGATCTTCCGGCACTTCCTCCACTCGAATATTTCCATGGTTATATTATTAATAAGTAATCATACGGTTTCTCTCGTTCAATTTGGAATTGATTTGCACGAGTGAGTGTTTCAAAGAGCTTAAATTGCACTCGCCGAAGCGGCTTGTGCAATTTAAGCTTTTTGAAAAACTCACTCATGCAAATTAATTCCAAATTGAGCTTGAAACCGTTGATTACCAATACTAACGGGTATTCAGAGAGGAAAGAAATACTCTTTGAAAGCAAAATGTAATGTACTTTCAGAGTTATGTATTGTCCTTTGAATAGGAATGTCAAAGACCATTATAATCATTAAAAATAAACCTGGGATCAGCTTGGTATAGCCTTCCATTACTTCTTGCTAAAAGAGGGAAATTACTTTGCAGGTCGCTACTTTTAGAATTTCTCGGGGGGGTCGCTACTTTCGAGATTTGCTAACACCTGTAAAATTTTATCGTTACTTTCGAGGGGTCGCTGTTACTTTCGGAAGTTTAAGGTAATCGGGAGAATTTGTTCAAATAGTGAATGGTGATTACTAATGAGCTGCGTGTTTGAGGTTTTGAAGCTGACTTGAATCATTAATGTGACACTTATTTGCCGCGCTAGGGCTTCATCACTGGGATAGCACCGCCCTAGATCGATCAGTTGTGAACAAGCTTTGTTAGTAAAAGGTTTTTTTACACGACTTTATGATTAAAACAGGGCAGTAGAAATTTAGCCGGTAGTATTTGACTTTGAGAATATTGGACTGGCAATAAAACCAACTAATTGGCTACTTTTTTGGTCGGCTCGATCAGCTCACTTGTCTTAGTCGCGTAACTGAAGTACTGTTAAAATATCTTGTTGTTATCAGGAGAATTTCAAGCTACATCACTCCTAGGAAT